CTAAGCTTTGTATTATTGTATATATTATTGCTGTATTAATTACTTTAGTAATATGTTTTGAAAGTAGTCTACTTGTTTGTAAAATTATTTCATGGGAAGCTTCTACACGTCATTCATTCATTCTTTCTTTCTTTAATTTTTTTTAATTTTAGTGATAATGGAGGCGACAGCACTGACCATGGTCCTGGGCCTGTCGTTGACCGTATACATAACGCCCGCAACGCAAGCCATACATCAACTCACACGTCAGTAATTTTTGTTTGCAAAAGTGAAGTTTTGGATTGCACCCACAAAGTCCCTCGTTAGGCACGTCACCACTCACCAGCTTATTTGGTTCCAGATTTTATTTAAAGATTCACCCTGAGAGTTTTCCAATTAAAAAAAATATGTGACATTATAGATAATATATTTTTATATGATAAATTATTTATATTTATATTTTTAAAACAAAAAAATTCAGAATCTCGTATTTTTGTTGTATTCAGAGTTAATTTCAATGCATGAAAACTCCCTATTATTAAAAAAAATCCCATGGAAGTAAAAAGACAATGCGATGCCTTGATAATTCACATGGCCACAATACACTCATGAAGTGATTGTCACTGCAGGATGCTTTTAGGCTTGAATACAACTAGGGAGATGTCACTGCAGGATGCTTTTAGGCTTGAAATAGACGCTACAACTAGGGCGATCATTTAAAAAAAATTATTTAAAAATATATTAAAATAATATTTTTTTTATTTTTTAAAATTTATTTTTAACATAATCATATTAAAAACAATCAAAAAAATAAATAAAAACATTAATTTTAAATAAAAAATTCATTTTTCTTAAAATATTGTTTGAAACACAGTTGCAAACAGCCTCTTAACATGTATCAAAATTTTATTTTATTTATTTTAGTATAAGTTTGAAAAAGATGGGAGAAAGTCATCAAATTACAGGAAAAAAAAGATAAAGTTATTGACTAGTACATTTATAATAACAAGAAATTATATCATGTTGTCCACGTGTTTCTTTAAATTATAAAAGTTATATTTGGGGCATTTTATAATATTCATTTTGTTAGAAAAAACAAATCAAGACTAAAAAGATTTTTTTAATTCAGGTTGGTTTTATATTTTTAATTAGTTTTCATTAATTTAAGCTCAATGATCTTTTAATCAAGTTCTCTATAATGTTTTTTTGTTTTGTATTTCCAGAGAATATATATATATATATAACATTGTAAACGTATTAATTAAAGTGAATGGTATTGAATGCATGGACAAAATTTCTATTTTTTTAGCATTGACCAAAAATAAAATTAAGTTGACTCGTGAAGAAGCTGGCGCATGACTAGCACATAAAAGGCAAAATATTTCTACCCATTGCCATCTTCAAAAGGTGGAAATTTCCATGAAAGATGGTCTTAATCACAACCTTGAAAACACGTCCTCTAAACCATAAAGGGCTCTGTATAGTTCTTACGTGCGATATTTCATCACAGCACAACACGTGCGAGGAAGAGCATGAGCTTGTAATTGCATCCACAGAGAGTAAAAGCAGAAAGGATCCCTTCTTTACCATTCTCTGCTTGCCTTTTTTAGGTTCCGTACAATTCATCTAATATTTAAATTATTAGATTTGCACAAGTTTCAGAACTCTCTCTTATCAATTAACAAAAAAAAAAGTTTTTTTTATAAAAAAACAATCTTTCATGATTTTCCCAGTAAACGTGTTTATTTTTTAATAAAGATAAATTAATTTTATTTTTGTAATAAAACACAATTCATTGAATAAAATAATCTATAACTTCTCCATTATGTAATGTATTTAAATCTCATTCTAAGAGCTTTTCACCTAAAAATAAGAAATATTTAAGAAATTATATGTTTTTTTTACTGTTCTAAAAAACAAAAAAGAATATTGCCATGTATGATGGATGTAGCAACAAGTTTCGCAATCTAAGACCACATTATACGTCAATAAATTCTACGCAATCACCCATGACAATTTTTTAAATATAATCACAGATATGAATAATTATTGTAAGTAATCTCCCTAAAAAGAAATCCAAGGACCATCTCATGAAATTTTATTTCATTTAATGTATTTTTATATAATATTAATTTTTTTTTGAAGGATTGCATTTAAAAAACCGCCCTCAACACTTATTAATCTACTAATTTTATTTTATTATATGTCTGTTTAAAAGTATAATTATGTTATTTTTTAAATAATTTTTTATATTAAAATATATTAAAATAATAGGAGTAAAACAATTCAAAATATTATAAAAAAAAATTATTAAAAAAATAATTTTTTTTGTGCACCTTCCTGTGGTTCTGAACGAACGACGGAAATGTGACTCTCGGCTTCGATTAGACATAAAAACTAAAATTACACTGTCAGCGTATTAATTAAAGTGACAAGGAGCGCCGTGTACGGGAGACTATTCCTTAATATAGATTGTACTAGATCTTTCGCCAACATTTGTCACGAGTTTTTGATTCTTTCTTTTCTTTAACGTAAAAAAAATATGTTTAAGCTATACTAATATTTCTTCCCAAACAAATTTCATTTCATGTGGCTAAATCGTGATTACATGTTTAAAATCAAATTAAACAGCTGATAAAAATATATTTTAATTTAAAATATATATTTAATTTAATATTTTTTAAATAAATATTAAAACAATAATATATTGAATGGATTTTGATGAATTTGATAATTTGTATACTAAATTATGAGATGATAATTATTTTATAAAAATTAAACTAAAATAAATTATAAAACTTAATTTCTTGAAACTAAAATAAATTATAAAATTTAATTTGTCAAATTATAAAATTAAAAAAATCTTTATCCTAAAAAATACAATAAAATAATTTGAATTTACTCGAGTTAATTTAGTAAATACAATGTTAAAATATAAAAATAAAAAGAAATAATTATAAAAAAATATAAAAAAATAACATGAATCAATCCCGGTTAATATTCCAAGCCTACTATCTAGATAATGAAATCATGATAACACAATAAAAAACATATTAAAATAAATTATAAAACTTAATTTTTAATCAATTTAATATTAAAAGATAAAAATTAAATTAAAAAACACACAAAAAATGACTCGGGTCATGAATATATAACAACCTTACAAAAAATAAATTGAAAAATATTATAAAATCTAATATGTAATAAATATAATATTTAATAATATAATTAAGATTGAAAAAAAAAACAGTATTACATTTAAAAGTATTATATGATTAAATATGAGGAGGGGTAGATCAAAAACTCCTTCCTCTTTAGTTTTTTGTTATTTTCAATAACAATAAAAATGTTTTGTTCAATATTATGTTTGAAATACAATGTGTTTAACTTGAAAATAAAATAAATTTAATGGTTTTTAGTAATTTTAAATGGTTTCAATGTATTACAATAAAAAAAAATCTAAAAAAGCTATTTAAATATATATTTTAAATAACCCCTTTTTTTTAAATAATAATAATAATTTAAAATTTATTTTTAATATTAACATATTAAAATGATTTAAAAATATAAAAAACATAAATAAAAGTAAAAGAATCAAATCAAACCAATTTCTTTTTAAAATGCTTTTATGGCCACAAAAATAAATAGTTACGAAATAACAAATCAACTTTAGATATGGTCCGTGCAAAACTGGGCAGCATTAAGATCACATGGCGGACATAATACGAAGAAGCAAAGAAACCAACTTGTGCTGTGGACGCTTGTCTCGGTGCGCAACTTGCATGCCACCCATATCGTCACGGGGTGCCTTGCACGTGACCAGGGAACCGTCATCGTGCCCTCTTTTCACAGACCAGAACCTCTAAATGTTCTTTGCCTTTCCTTCCCGATAAAGCCAGAACGTATAAAAATTATGAATAAATGTGTTAATATATTCTATTAAGATTCTAGAATATGCACAGCACAACGCAGAATGCATCATGGTGATTCTCGCCAAACCCTGGCTATAAAATCAATGGCAACGGTGGGTGCATTTAATCTAAGCATATCATTTATTTATTTGGTTAGCTTTCTATGATAAAAATAAATAAATATAAAAACATGTTTTAATTTTGGAGTGAATTTATATTATTTTAAAATATAAAATATCAAAAGTACTTATTTTTATCCAAATTATTTGTCCTGAAATAATAATTAAACACTAATTAAAAAAATATAGCTAATGATTGCTACGACAACAAGAGTTTATCTAGAAGAGAGAGTTGCATTAATAATTGACTATAGGGATTAAATAAATTAAGATTTAACTTAACAGAAAATTACTTTTAATTGTTTGCTTGATTAGATGCTGATTAATACATGATCTCCTCTGATATCCTGTACTTTGTTAAATATTGACTAGATATTGTACGATTCCATTCCATTACTAATAAAATAAAATAAAAAAATCCGAAGAAAGAAAGAGGCAAGAAGCCAGCGAGACAGAGTGCCGCTGACTGATACAGTGAGAGACTGCCGCTGCATGCATGCAAAGCCAAGCCAAGCCAACTACAGGAAACACAAG